ACTTTTCCAAGCTAAGCGAAGGACAGGGCGGAGCAGACACTCGCAGCAGCTGAGCTCAGATATGGAGCTTAGGCTTCGAGGGTTTTGCTAATTTTCATGCGATTCGCGTATTTCACTTACCTCACTGTACTCCAGCTTGACCATCACGTAGCTGGCAGACAGCTCGGCATTGTCCTGCATTCATTACACTCTCATTTGGCGGATTTCTTGGATTCCTGTGGAGCTACTTGCGCAGTTAGTTGGCATGCATGGGTTGACAGACGGCTGTGTCTCTTGGAGAATGCTGGTCCAGACACTTGCTATTCATATTGTGGGCAACAAACTAATCATGTCCCAGCTGCCATGCATTATTTTGTGCACATTTTCTGATTGCAAAAATCACCGGAGAAATCAGCAAAGTGCGTGACGATTCGCCGGACGGTGCCCAGCCAAAACAGGCCCATGAAAAATCCAATGAAATGTTAGAGGTGGGGGGGCCGAATTGTTAGCTTTTTTTGATTTGCAAGGGCAACCCTACTTGAAAGCTACTGAAGGCAATTTAGCCGCTGACAATCACAAAATTTGACATGGCTTTAGTCAGTTCTGTTTTTAGAAAAACATTGAAAATCAATTTGTACTCTAAGTATATTTTTGGCAGCCAGTTATGCAAAGCATTTGGTCAAAATGTAACAATGGAATCCCCCTCTTTTTGCAGGGGTGAGTCGATTCCAATCTAAATTTATTACTATTGCAGATGGAATTTGTTTTTGTTTTTTGTTATGAATATTAGAAAAGATAAAACTTAACATCTGCGCTGTCACAGAATATAATATTATATATTCGTGACCAGTATTAGCCTCAGTAGTTATATAATCATATCCGTCCATTTGTCTGCCTGACCCTTTGTTTCTTCAGCTTTTCTCTTAGCTTTTAAGCCAATTGTTGTAAGCTTTTCATTGATCCAGACAAATTATATTTAGATTTTGTATAAAAACGCAGTATATATACATACTATATATATATATTTGGGACAACCATAGAATAAAAACGCTTATTTTGTTATATAATTATATTATATTGGGCAAAACCCAAAAACCAGAATAATGTTGCCTGATTTAGATTTCAAATTGATCTCGACCCCAAACCGAGAACAAAGGTTTGTGCATGTGTGTATGTATACGTGTGTGTGAGGTTGTGTGTGTGTATGTGTATGCATGCATGCATTTATGTATATATGTATGTATGCATGCATATTTATTTATTATACCAAACGCAGGCCACCTTATATTTCGCTGTGCTGTAAATTTAAATAAAACTAATTTTTGCCAAGTGCTCTACTCCTCGATTCTCAAGAATTTTAGTAGGCTCTGCAGTTTTTCATGCTTAGCTAGAAGTGAAGTGCCTTTTTTGTTTGTTTTTTTTTTTTTTTTGGTTTTGTTTTTGGTATGTATATGTATGTTGTATATGTATGTAGTATGCACATGTGTACATATATATGTATGTATGTATGCATGCATTTACATACATATGTATGTACGTATGTATGTGTTTATGTATGTATGTATGTATGTATGTATGTATGTATGTATGTATGTGTGTATGTATGTATGTATGTACGTTTGCATGCGTGTGTGTATGTAGATACGTATGTATGTATGTATGTATGTGTGTGTGTGTATGTATGTACGTATGTATGTGTGTGTGTATGTATGTTAGTATGTATGTATGTATGAATGTATGTATGTATGTATGTTTGTATGTATGTATGTATGTATGTATGCATGTGTGTATGTACATTTATATGTACATATTTCCGTCGTTCTGCCTGTTTCTATGCAAACTAGTACGTTGTTGGGCAGAATTGTATAATATTTTGATCAATCTGATCAATTTCGAGCTTCAGTATTTGCAAAACCATAATTCTACAAGGAAAGTAGCTCTTCTCTCTTGAAACATTTTTATTTATTATTAATTATTCATGTTTTTATTATTTGATAAATTAAATATAAAAATATAGCAAATTAACTGAAAATTTTTTGAAAATGTTGTCAAGTGAGACGAAACATTTAAATGCTTAAAGATATATAACTACTGGGATACGCGTTTTTACTTAAATTAAACTGTCTATTATAAGGTAGCTTGGAGTGGTGGTTAAATTGGAACAAAGCCAATAAATCACAATGCTTAGGCCAATTTCCAGTTTGAGTTCGAGTTCGAGTTGTGCACTTAGTACCCATGTCCCGTAGATGTCCAGGCAGTTGTCCCAGGTCGGCTGTCAAACATAATCACCTTGAGCCGCAAGTGCCCCCGAAAACGACGGGCACAGCAGACACCCTCTCATCAGGGTCCAAGTTTTTTTTTGTAGCGTCTGTCTCGAGCAAACGAATCTATTCTCAAAGGGAATTTATGCCGTTTGTCTCTGTGTGAATGAAATATTTTATTTTGGTTTTTATTATGGCCGCCCGTTCAGTTTTTAACACATTGTAGAGAATTTTTGTAATTTCAACACGTTGCAACATCCGAGGGCTGTTGCGAAACGTCGAAAACTTTTGGCAAGCCCAAAATGTTGTCCAAATTTTCGCCAGTGTCCACATCTCGGACACAAATGATTAATGTGCTGGCAGTTCTCAACGGCAAATAATAAATTGTTTTTTGCGCTTTTCTCACTTTTTTATATAAAAAAAGCAGACAGGGGTTATTTTAACGGGGGAGCATGAAAACTGCCCTGTCACCGTTTGCTGCAACGCTTTTATTTAATCTTTTATCATAAACGTGTTCAAAATTCATAAACATGTTTTGTGCTCAAACTCTGATCGAAACTTACATTTGTATTGCAAATGGTTACCCAATTACACATTTATAATTACTATATTTTGTACAAATAGCAACCAAGTATTCCGACTTTCGACTGAGCTCATTGATAATAGACAAATTGAGTATAATGGCAATATATCGATTTTGAGACAATCCCCTATCATTCCGTTTCATTTCTAGAGGGATAAACAAAATAAAACATAATGCGCCTCTTACCTGATGTTTAAGGAAAAAGGTAATATGTATAATATGTATTATTTATAATATGTATTTGCAGTCCGAAAGTGGAAGAAAGACAACTCCGATAAAGCTAAGGAAAGTTTCGTTAAGCAGATGCAAAACTAAGTATCTGATATTTTGCACGTCACAAATATATTGAAAAAAAAGCTATTTCACGATAGAAGTTGTTGGAATTTATTGTAATAATTTGAATTTTTATTGGCTTGTGTAAAAGATGTAAAAGTTCCATGGTTGGGTGTGCCCAACTATCACATACTCCTTGTAGACGCATAACATTTTCCCATAAAAATTGTAACGCATACAAGGAAACACTCCATAAAGTATATTTATATTCTTGATCAGTATCAATTGCTACTCTCTTAATAACAAAGAAGTCGTCATGGAACGTGACGCAGGCTCGTCTTTCTGTTTAAGACAGTAGATAACGAAGAAATGGAAATAGAAATGAATTTTTCAAAAATTAAAATGAATTCGGAGATATCCGTTTTTTCTTGTTTTCGTTGTTGCAGCGCCGTTTAATTTCTGGTAGTATTATTTATGCAAATGTTTAATCAAATTAATAAATAATTAATAATGCTTACTGTGAAAATTGTTACGCAGCAAATGATTAATGGCTACAGCAATTATTAAACATTTTTAGCATGTGGTTTGTTGTTTTTTTTTGCTCATGAGGAACTAAAAATAATCAAATATTCATAAATATGATGTACCATAGTAAAATTCATTTTAATTATTTAGTATTTTATAATTGTTTAGTACACGTTGAAGTTAGTTGAATTGTAAACTGTTGCTTGAGTCATGGTTATAAGGTACCACCTAGTCGAGCACTCTTGCCCAAAGCATTCTGACTTGTTTTTATAAGGAGTAGCTTTACCGTTGCACGAGTTTGTATTTCTGATGTTGTGTAAGAAACTGATATTCAATAGTCGAATTATAAATTCATTCATTTGGGTGTTTAATGTCGCAAACATTTAAATCGATTTGTTAATTAGTGCGTCGAGCAGCGTTTATAAAGTTTATTAAATTAGCAACTGGAATTGAGCTGGCTTAAATATAGTATTGAATTTCAAATGAGGTATCTAGCGCTACCACTGGACAACACTCTGAAGAATTCCAAAGATATTGAAAGAATATAAGATCTTAGATTAAGGAACTTACAGTAAGTATTAAAGCCAAGTTTACAGATAAAATTCTCGAAATAATGTTTGCCTACTGATTTCAAACAATTCATTTATATTTTAACAACAACAAAAAATGAGGTTATTGTCCGAAACAGCAAAATAAGTTAAGTCCACAAATAAGGTCAGCGAAAATAAATTCAACACTCCAACCACAAGAGTCCACACTTGGCCAAAATTCAAAAAAAAAAAGCTTTCAACGCGAACGCAATGCTCAGTACTCGGAGAGAGCCTCACGTGGATGAACAGCTGAAGTAGCCCTGAGCAAGCTTGGTGAATAATAATAAGAAAACAAACAAAAAATATCAAAAAAGTTGAGCCAAAAAAAACAAACAAATCGGGTTTGGCAAAATCCCCCAATATTCCAAATTAACGGGCACCTATTCCTGATCTCGTTCCGCAAGTTTTCATTATTAGCATGCGAATGTGCGTCTATGATTTGAGTCTGCCTTCAAAAATGTTGTTTTTGTTTGTTTTGAAAATATGTTTTCAAATGCTGCCATATTTTAATTACGCTGAATCAGCGATAGTAAATCTAGCTTAATGCTTTTCTCTTGCAGAGAAATCAAACGCTTTCCAGTTTTTCAGGTGAGCCGATCGCGGCGCATAAGATTTCTTGATTTTATCACTTGAGTTCTTTTGTTTTCGCTTAAGCTTCGGGGCTTAGGCTTGGGCTGCTGCTGGGTCTGGGTCTGGGTCTGAGTCTGGCTTGCGACTTGCACGCTTCTTCTTCTTGTTATTCTCGCTAAAATTTCCATATAAAAGACGACAGCATCGGCATCGTAAGTTTAGTCGTTTTGGAGTTTTAACTGTTGTCTAACGTTCCGTGTTCGTCGCCTAAGTCTTTCGTTCTGTGAGTAGCAGCTCGCCGCCTTTGCCGATCATCTGTGCTGACTAATCTGTGACTGTGCTTGTGACTTCGTAGATATCTCCGTGTTGGATTAAGCTGAGAATCATGAAATACGCTGTCATCGCCCTCGCTCTCGCCCTTTTCGCCGTAGCTCACGCAGCTTCCGGTAAGTACGACGCTGCGAACAGCTCATGCGTCATCAGAGCTTGGAACTTTGGAAGACATTATACTAAAGTTGAAGATTCAATGCCGCAATTACATCATTGTCTATTAGCGTTAACGCGTTTCGGTTATTAGAAAACCAACTTAACGATTGTTATTATCGTCTTCGTCTTTATTTTATTCATTATTTCCGCCTTTGAAGACGTGTATGCTAATATGTGTATGTGATAAACGAAATTCAAGTTACGCCTAGCACAATATATACAATCGATTATTTAATATATGAATGTACGTATATACATAATTGTGCCTACAAGTGGTCAGAACACTTTAGAAACTCAGTACGCGTTGTTTAAAGAGACTCTTAAATATTATGAAAATATATTAAATTAAAAGAAAGAAACAATGAATCTTATGAAAACAAGCTCACTTCCGGCTTGTCGGTAGTTTAAAAACTAAGCTTTACTCCCAGTGAGCCTTATCGTAGCCTCCCAAGCTACTTAAGCAACTGATCGGTACTTGCCAGAATACATAGTTATGACAGCATTGTCTGTGAATAAATTGAATACAAAATTTAATCAATTTTGGTTAACACCCATTCATTTGGCGTTGCCTATTTCTTGGTGAATTTAATAAACAAATATAAGAAGTCAAAACTGCTACTAGACTTGAACCGGCAACCTTTCGTCTGTTAGTCCGCTGCTCAGACACTTAAGATATACACTCATGACGTCCATATAGCCGAGTTGTTTATGTTCCAAAAATATTGACGATAAAAGAAGTGGGATTTATCCTCTATCGATCAGTTTTAATTAGCCAGATCAGATTTTATATCCATGATTTCATTGGAAGGTGTAGAAATGACATTCTGTCGACCTGTAAGAGCGAGCGTCCTTTTCGTATTTTATGTCAAAGTTTCACGCGGTGCGAATTTACAAACGGATAGCGTTTGAATTGATATATAATGAAAATAATAATAATATATAAATTGATATATAATGATAAAACTCGGCTGCTATACTTGAGACTAAATCTATCCACCTTTTGCAGAAGCTGGTCAGTTTGTACCCAGGGCGTTCTTCACCCTGGACTCTGAGGGCCATCAGTCGAGTGTGCATCCAGTTAATGCTCACCTGCTGAAGCGTCTGCGTCGTCAGGTGTTCAGCTCTTCGTCTTCATCGTCATCATCCTCGTCTTCATCGGGCAATGGCCACGTTATAACTACATCGAACCAGCAGGTGGTAAATCCTGATGGCTCCAGTTTCAGCGGAGGAAGCATTCAACACATTGCACAGTGCGTAAAAGTTGCCCAAACTAAAAATGAATATAACCAACTTTGGCATTTTCGTACATTTTAGACCTGCATTCGAAATTGGACAACGCTTCGGCGAGGATTCGTCGTCGAGCTATGCCAAGCCTGCAGCCAGCAGCTTTGGAGCACAGACTGCGGGAACCCAGAGCTACGGCACGCCTCAAGGAGTTGTCATTAGCTACACCGGCTCCACGGATGCAGCTGGCAACCAGAAATACCACGAAACTCATGGCACCATCGGCAACGACGGCCAATGGAAATATAACCAGACGAGCATCGTCTACCCCCGTAATTAAGAGCCCCAGTTCCCAGCCCACCTATGCTTAGAATTATGGCCTGTGGCCCATTGATGTGTAATAAGAACTCAAATTCACAGGCACAGTTCCGCACGCAGTTGTTTTGTTCAAAGGTCATTCAATTGGTTTCAAGTGGGCGTTATGGCACGCCCACTGCCTCTGCTGTTGCGCCAGGCCTCTAACCTGGCAGACACTTTAGATGATTGCATCCCGGTTTAATCTCGCAAAAAGTGCACAGCCTGCTCCACTGGGCACAAACAATGCCAAGTGGGCGTGTGGGCGTGCTGTACGAGCAGTGTTGGTAAATGGTTTCAGTGAATTTGCTCAGCCAAGCGGAACTCTTGCCGAGCAACTACCTCCGACTCGGTGATTAAAAGAACGTGTAGTGCCGCGATGACAAATGGCAAACTATGATGTCAGGCTGCCTAATGGGTTCGGGTTTGGGGTTGGGGTTGGGTTTGGGGCACGCGTGTAAATCAAAAGATGCAGCAGCCACGACAAGATATGAATATGTTATTTGCTTGGGGAATTGCCCAAATCTCAACAGGTACACGCACTTTGGCACCGGCTGGAGCAGCTTGCGTATTAGCAGCTATAAAGGCCAAAGTCGCATTGACTACACAATACCCTGCATAAATTTGGATTCCCTTCCCTTGCCTCTGCTCAAGTAAGTATACCCTTTTCGGCAAGCATGGAGGGTATCGCGCCACCTCAACTGATTTTCTGGCTCCTTCCACATTTGGCGGGCGACCTGGCAAAGGCTGAAAACTTTTGCCAACTTCGTTAGCCGTCGACTTGCTGCACGGCTTTTCAAAAGTTTTTAATTATTATAATTAATTACTTTGATCTCTGCTGCCGCAACTGTTTTGGAGCACAGCTCTTGCCTGTTGGCGCAGCTATTAATTTACTTGATTATGTTGGGGTTTGCGGGTAATTCGTTTAGACGAGTTCTGCCTTCTGGTTCCAAGTACTCATGTGTGCGTCGACTTTTATTATAATTTATTCCACGTATTTGTGAAAGTGTAATGAATTTACTAGCGTATGCCTTAAATCAAACCTACTTAGTATCAGGCTCGTGTACGCGGTTTTATACTCTACAACAAGAATGACATTTTTGTCTATTCTTTGCACACTTACTTTAAGTTTCTATGATTTAATTCCAGTTGAATCCATCTTATCCCAACAAATCCTATTAATCGAAGCCTCAATTAATGTAGGATTATTCAAATTGGCCAAGAACATTAAGTAAATATATGTAGAAATTCACTTATTTATTTATCCCACTATTTAATTTATTCAATTGAGTCCAGATTTCGTTTTTGTAAGTTGTATTTGGCAGCTTCTCGCTGCTCGCTTCTCGCTGTTCGCTTCTCGCTAGGCAGCAAATGATCACAATTTGATGGAACTGTCATGAGCACTGTGGCTGGGGAGAAAACCCATCGAATACTCAAGCGATGGGGCATACGCAAAAAGCACATAGCTGCAGTCGTGTTCTGAATTTTTATGAAACGAGATTGGCGGTGGCACAAAAAGCGGGCCACTCTCTGATTGATGGGGAGTCAAACGGAGACAACTTGTAGCTGGGGCATGGAGCGCAACAAATTAAGCAACTTGTGTGGTCCGGCCACCGCAGAAGACGCCACCTGGCCAGAGAGCGGCCACGGTCCGATCGATCCGATCGGTCCACCGCGACCATAGCCATCTCAGGCGATGCCAAATTCAGTGCACAAAACCCAGCGCCGACTGCCGCCGGACACGAGCGCCGATTCCAATGCTGTTGTCGATGCCTCTGCCGCTGCCGACGCTGGCCAAGTGACATTTTATTGGCGTCCGAGAGCAAGACGGCCACTTTTTGCTATTTAGAGGCATGAAAGCAGCGGCGGGTCCTCACATGGATAATTGACAACAGTTAATTCCATTGAGCAGACGCCGATATGCCCGCAAATTTAATTATTGGCTCGCTGATCGCGATGTCGATGAGTCTGGGTGGGCGGCAAGGCAGCCTGGAATGGAGCCTGCAAATGTTGCCTCACTCTTAAGACTCCCTCCATGTAGGGGGTGGGGCTGCCCATCAAACTAAATTCATTGCAATCTACGAGCTAGTAAAGCAAACAACCTGCCCAAAGGAGAAGTAGCGACAAAAAAAAAGCAAATCAACAAACTGTTGACAACAACCCAAACGAAAATCGCTTGACAAATTTTTGCCATTTCAGCGGAGCCGTTCGGGATGATGATGCAGATGCAGATGCGGAGGCAGAAGCAGAAGCAGAAGCCGTTTGCCTGGATCTGAACACAAGAAAAAACACAAAAAAAAAAGAAATCGAAAAAAAACTCTGTCGTTGTCATCATCGGAAGCGGAAGCACAGGCAGATTCAGATTCTGCCTCCGCTGTGAGCTCATCACAAGGACAAGCATGAGGATGGGCGTCCAAGTGGCGTCCACTGGCCGTGGAATGGAAATGCATTTCGTTTACTGTTGACTTAAATCGTTTAGGTAAAGTTAAACAACTTGTTCGCTTAATTGTTAAACAATGCTCTGGCAGTCGAGTTGAAAGTGAAATAAATCCAGGGACTGTGATGAAGTCCTGCTGATGCACGAATAATTGATGAGAGCTGAGGTAGGAGTAAACGGAAATATACTGGCTAAGTGCTTTAAACTAGACACTCAACCCTCATATTGAACTGAACCTAAAGTCCCATCTTAAGACTTGCCTCTATCCACTTTTTAAAACGCGTTACTATTGTTATTATAGACTCAAAAATTCATTCTTGCGCCTTTTGAATTTCGTGTTTAGCGTCTAATTATACAATGAGGACACAAATAAAGCATTATTAAAATATCTGCTGCCAGGAATGCTTAGAATGGACCCTGAACATGACTATAAACGGACAAGACAAAATATGCAAATAGTTGTCGGCTAAATATATAATAATTTAATAATAATAAACTCATACCTGACGCTTGATAATACTCTAAATATAGAACTAAGAAGTAACCAATAACATTGTGGCATTATATATTGATTTTATTGACATTAATGCAAACCATGGCAACTTAGCCAAACGTGGCGTGGATTTGACAAGCGAACTTTTCCATTTTGACATGCATGTCTAGGGAAAGTGAATTTTTTCTTTTAAAAAATAAAATCTTATATTTGTATGTTTGTACATATAATAGCTAATAGCTAAAAAAGAAACATTTACTGAAAGTGTTTGCAACAATAAAAAAGTAAGTGTTCAGTCGAAATGAATATATCAAAAATAGTTCTTTATAGTTTGCGTTTGTCGTTATATTTTCCCCAATTTTGTAAAAAATATGTATTTTGGGTCGCCAACATTAATTGACGTTGTTAATGAACCATTTTATACAATATGTGCACTTTCTGACATTTAGTTATTTGTTATTTTTGGCAGTGAAAGGATCGGTAAGTGCAGCCCTTCGAATTGCCTAAAAGGGTGGAATCCGACCCAAAGCACAGCATCATAAACAACATCCAACAGCCATATCTACATATGCACATACTACCTACCTACCTACGTACCAGTAGGTATTTGGATTTTCCTTGACAGCCCCTGGGAATTCGCATTCATCCACCTACTCGTGCGTGTGGCTGTGTGGCAAGCGAAATGGTTGACAATGCGGGAATAGAAAGAAAATACATTCGAGTACATATGAAATATTAAACCAAATTTCAAGTTCACGACTCTGGACACATTTTGGAGACTTTGGCCCATTTGACAACATGTTGCAACATTGCCAAAATCATGGTCATTAGTTAAAAATAAATAGCCGGCCAGGTATTATTTTTAGTTAACTTCGTAGCTTAAATGCTTGCATTTATTAATTTTATTTTAGATAAATGTTCTTAAGAGCCGTTTATACAATTCTTTAGGAACTAATCCCCTAAGCTGTGCTTTATTATCTATAAGAAACGCTTGCTTGAATCTATTTCTGCTTAACATTTGACTAGCTCTACGTCTTTCAAACCAGCCCAAGCTGAGCGCGCGTCGATAAAGCAGTGCGCGCCAAGCGAATGTTCTCTTGCTGCTGCCAGTTCTCTTAACGCATGAAATGCGCTCTTAGCAGCTGCCTTAGTTTGTTCTTATTGGTGCTTTGGAGCTTTAACTAAACTAATGGCCACAGCCCATATTTGATTGTGTGCACAGATTGTGCTTGTTTCTGACAAGAATTTGTTCAGACTAAGGTGCAGATTAGGTATTCGAGATTATAATTGGGCTTTAATATTTAAATAAATATTGAAAAATAATAATAAAAAATAAATAAAATAATGTTTTACAGCTCTTAAATAGCCTTTGAATAAAACAAATAAGTATGTGACAGAGTTTGAAACAAGAATTTGCTTCGATTCAGGCGCAGATTAATTTTTGAAGATTATTATTGGAATTAAATAAATCAATAATTTACATCATAAATCAAATTATTTTTGCTGCCTCACATTCTTACAGCTGTTAAATAACTTTTGAATAATAATAATTAGTTTCTTGTCAAGAGAACGAATTCATTTTTGTTTAAAATCGGAAATAATCAAAGGTCTACATAGTTCCGATTTACCCATATTGGATTCTGGACGCGAGTCCTCGTAAAAACTTGTCGGCAACATTTTTATTTATTACGGTACCTTTTAGGTTAGAAGGCGAACAAAAAAAAATATAAAAATATTCAAATGCATTCTATTTTTTTTTCATCGTTTGTTGCGCCCTTTCAAATCTGTGGGGCTGGGCTGCTGTGAGGCAAAGGTAGATAGTCCTAAAGGCAACAGAAATGGTATTAAAAATAAATTGCTCCTTCCTCTGCGCTCATTTAATTGAATTGTGCTCGCAATTCAACGTCAAAAAATTTCCACTTTTTTTAACAAAAACAAAACAAAATTTCATTGTTTGCATATTTAATAAAGCTAATCAAACACGTCGACTGAAGCGTCCTCGCGGTCCACTCCCCTGGCCACCTCCTGACGGTGTCGAGTGTGATGGGAGTGAGGGTTGTTCTATGATACCTTCCGAATCGGTAGTTTCGACTCTGCAACAACAACAGCAACAACAGCATCATCCACATAATTTATTGGCGGGTACTCAAGGACGTGCACTCATAAAACAGAAAAAAAATTAAAAAAAATAAATAAAAGAATACAGCAGGACTGTGAAAAACACAGCGGGAAACCACGCGGCAGTCAAACTAATTTGTTGTCATTTTTATGCGACAAAAGTGAAAACAATAATAAATGCATAGCCCAATAACAATAACAACAACAACAAAAACAAATCGTTGCATAGAAAGACCTTCGCAGCTGCCACGAATCCATTAAAATGCAATGGAAAGGCGTATTGGAGATCGAAAGATCTGCCCAGTTTATCTAATTAAACTAACTCTATGGCGCGCTATAATTTTGTGAGCTGATATTTTATCAAAGTGTAAATCTAAAATATCTATGACCTTTATAGGTCACTTGACTTTATAGTCAATCGAGTTAATCGAGCCATGTTATTTGCTTCGGTATCTATAAAACTAGACAAATTTTAGATATAGATATAGATTAGATTAAGAAAGTTATAATGGTTCAAAACACTAAGAATCGGAAATGTATTTTCAAAAAGATCTTTGAGACCGAATCTTCAAGCGTGCACTTACCTGTGTATAAGGTAAATGCAATCAGGGAGGACAACAGGAGTAGCTTTATATATAAAGATATCTTATTGAATTGCTGAACTAGATGAATGGAAACCAAGCTTATATTCATTTGAGCTGCCCCAACTTTAAAATAAACTTATTTTGTAGCTGCCTCGGAGGCTTGAGCTACAATAACATCCCTCTTTTGTCGCAACACATCCAAATGCTTAACCGATGCTTATCCCAATTAGAGGAAATCAACTGAAAAACTGCAACCGCAAACCAAAGTCAACAAATGCTCGCAATTAACGCAGCGCACAAATTTTCAAATGTCATTCACAACTTGAGCCGGATTCAATGAAGGTGGGCGGGCAGGGTTATGATGGTGCTCTGTGGTCAGGGCCGGGCCAGGCCAAGTCAGACCAGCCCTTACCCGGATCTAGCTGGCATTTCGCGCATATGGACTGAAATTGATGATGTGAGCAAGTGCCACGTAATCAATTTAGCAGCGCCTCATTTCAAATGCGAATTTAAGATGCCATTGTTGCAGTCGCCGGCCCTCGCAGCCTCTCCCTTCCCGCAGAGTGCTGCAGTCGGGGGTGAGTTGTCCAATCGGTTTGATTGTTGAAGTGTGTTTCCCTTTCGGCCCAACTGTTACAGAATGCTCGTAAATATGGACAACATATGCGCTGCCAAGGCCCAGCTCGATTCCAATTGGAGTGTAATGCAACTTGAACGAGGATCAAGAAATTGTTAGACAAGATACGCCTGGAGGTCGCATTCAATTTTCGATGCTGAAATTTTAAAATGTCCATAGCTGAGAGGCTGGGGCATTCATTTCATTTGGAATATTGTGAGCTCGTTTGTTATTTATGCCGCCTTTTATGTTCCTAATGTCGCATAAACAGTGCTTAATAATGCACTAACCTCCGCGTATCTTCACTAACCAAATAAACCTGCAACCCGCCCACAAATACTGCTACACACATGCAAACAAACAAACATTTTAAATGGGAGTGGTTCCCGAAATGGGCATGGGAGCGGGAATGGGAGTGGGCATGGGATAAGACTGACTCGTCGACAATGATTAATATTTAATTCGTGTGCGTTGGATATTTTTCCACTTTGTATTTTGGGGAAATTTAATGGCTGACAGAAGACAGAATGGCTGAAAGGAGACGAAGGGATACGTTTCTTGCTCTGCTCAGCGCCCAGCTCGGTTGCCAGGCTCTGTTTACTTTATGGGATAGCCGCGTGGTTGTCTCACATTTGGTTCACCTTTGTTCTGCCTAAAATTTGACTTGGAACTGGAAATTTGGCGGTGGCCTTTGGGAGCCCAGCATGTTTACCTTCACCTGTTTGCCACACATGCCTTCCCCATTTTGGGCTATTGAAATATTCCGTTTGACCTGAAAATCAAACAAGTCGAAATCCTTTTTGCCTCCGAGCTGCCGCTGAACTCCGCCTGTCCGCCTGTCCGACGATAAATTTGAAGCCAGTTGCATATAAACATCACTTCTTGGATCTGGAGGTCTCTCGCCCTTCTCCGGGTCTTAATCACTGCTTTCATTATTTTTGCCGACTTGCTGATTCCGTACAATTGCCAGCGATTACAACGAGCGTTGGACAAGGACTGCAGCAGGACCACAAAAAATAAAAGAGAAACTCAAACTCCCCCAGAGTGCAATTAGGAAACGAACTATAAAATTTCAGTGTTTGTCTTGGCAGATACTTTCGCACAGATATGTTTGCTCAAAGGCAAACACACACATACCGCATATCGTTGCGCCCGTGAGCGACACCCCCGTCGCGACCCTGCCCCACTGCACACCCTCCCTCTCCCTCTCTCTCTCTCTCTTTACTCGCACAATATCACACAGGGCAATTGCCCCGTACGCATAATTGGCCTTCTGTGGCCCCAGCTCGCTATTCTGACACTTTAATGAGCTGTCGACATTTGTTCCTTTAACCAACGGCATCTTGATACGACTTTACGGTTACACACAGGCTAGGATAGTTTATCATGTGAGTAATATGCGAATCCTTCTTAACGCAAAACATACTTTGTACGTATATCTAGCCATGTATTACACAATATACTAGATTATAGCCCGTGCCCAAGTCTGCATTGCCTTAACATTTATTTATGAAAACCTGTAGGTCTTAATTGAATTCATGAGAATTGCATAGTAAGGCGTTAATCATAAATACGTTTTTATTAATTAGCAGATTTTTAACCTTGAAGCGACCGAAGACAGTGGATTACCCGAGAAGTGTCAAGCATGATTTAAATGCACTTTGACAGACAATTTTTCGACCCTATTTATATATTTATGTTGTTGTGTTTATTCCGGGTATGGTCGCCTTTTACGCATTACACATTTAATACCTTCTACGAGGGAAGAATTTGGCTCTTTATCTCTGGGCTCACTCCGCATAGACTTCAATTCTATTTTCATTTGAAACAGTGCATAATTTTCTTAAAAAAAAACAACCTATTGTAACTATCTTAACGATCAATTAAGAAAATAGGGAAACTTTATTAAATTGTGTAAGGCCAAATAAAAAGCACCTTGAGGATGCTGACTATACCAAGCCATTATCAGCCGGACGAATGAACTCAGTTACAACCGCTTCGGTCATGCGATGCAGAGTATCGTTGAGCTCGTCCCACTCCTTTTCCTCGGGCAGGCCAACGATTTCCGCGTTGTATCGCAGTTTGGGCTCGTTGCCGCTGGCTCGGAATGTGATCGTCATTCCATTTTGGAATGTAAATGTTAGCACCTGCTTGTTCGGGCTGACCGGCAGACGCGGCTTGTGATCAGGAAACGAAGTGTCCAAGCCCAAAGTCAGGTCCCTCACGTTGGTCACCTCAAACTCACCATTTATGATGCACTTGGGATAGGTGCCCAGCAGATCATCCTCGAAACGACGCAGCCTATCACAGATCTGATTGATCTGTTCCGGATTTTGGTAGGTTAGAGAGTTGACGATAGTCGCATGGTAGCCGTAGGTATCGTAGATCTCGCGCAACTTCTCGATAAGCGTCACATTGCGGGTGCTGCGCAAATAGCAGGCCATCGTGGCCACTTGGCAGGCCGCATTAATCCCATCCTTATCTGGCACATATAGAGAGAACATAAAGCCAATGGGCTGCTCGAAGGCAAAGAGTACAGTTTTGCCAAGTGCCTCCAGCTCCAAGGCCTTGTTGGCCATCCATTTGTAGCCCACCAGAGTCTCGACATATACAAAGCCCTCAACTCTGGCCATCGCTGCAAGGATCTTTGAGCTTCCCACGCTGGATATCATAACACAGTTGGACACGTTGGGCTTGGGAGATCGAGTTTTATAGCTTTCCAAAGCCCACCAGCCAAGCAATGCGCCCAGCTCATCGCCAGTAAATTTCTTCCACCTGCCCTTGGGATCTAGTTCAACTACTGCCAGGCGGTCCACATCCGGATCGTTAGCCAGAATAATAGTACAGTGCTCTTCCTCCGCTTTTTTAATTGCTAAATTTAGACAATCCTTGCCCTCTTTAGGAAAAATAAACAATTAATACAAGTAAAATGAACTGAAAATTCTACCGACCAAAGATCTCGAATCTTTTTTTGGAAATTGTTTCCAAGTGGAAGAATACTTTAGGTAGGTTGTGTACTCACGTGCGTATTGTCATTGCTGGAAATGTTGTGTATTTCTTACCTATGGGATTTGGGAAGACGACAGTAGGAAACTCCGGATCTGGATCCTTCTGCTGTTGCACAGGAATAACCGGCTTAAGTCGCGCCTGGTAGAAGGCCTCGCGGATATAGGGGAAGCCCACGCCATGCAGGGGCGTGTAGACAAAGCGCAACTGACTGCACTCGTTGGTCTCAAGATATGTATATGGCAGCAATGTCTTCATCTGCTCATAATAAGCTTGGTAGATCTCCCGGTAAGGATCTTCCAAGAGTGGGTGGTCGTCAAGTACGGAGAGATCCCAAGACGATGCAAGAGGCTCCAAGTTATTAAGTACTGCAGCATGTAGGTTTTTATCATGCGGCGTCAAAAAGGGAGCACCATTGTACCAGTAGATCTTAAAGCCATTGTCGGTTTTCGGATTGTGCGATGCTGTCACAACAACTCCGGCCAGACAGTGCAAGTGCACCACGGCGAAAGACACAAATGGACTAGGCACCATTCGACTGAACAGGTAAACCCGAAAGTTACTGTTCAGAAGCACCGCTGCCAAGAGCTGGGCAAAGCGTTTACCGTTGTAGCGAGCATCGTACCCAATGACCACGCCTTGAGCCTCGCGTTTTTGTACACTGGGATACACTTCCTGGAGATAGTTGCTTAGGCCCTGGGCCACCTGGATGGTGACAAGATCGTTGATGGAATCAAAGCCAGCACGCATTCCGGATCTGAGGCCGCCAGTGCTGAAGTAGTTGTGATGACAGAGACGGATGCGCAGTGCCTGCCAGTCCTTCTCCTTGATGGCTTCCACCACCTGCTGTGTCGTGGCCGCATTTCTGTCCCACATGATCCAGTTGGTGATCTGCTCATCAAGATCTTCTTCGCCCGACAGCTGTAGGGTGGCGAGCAGTTCTGCTCCCGTGGTTGGAAGTTGTGGTGCTAGCATTTTACAATTTTGATAAATAAAAACTTGAAAATTGACAAATTGAAAATCTGAGAGCTCTGACTGACACAACTGAGCTCAAGGGCAACTCCCCAAACAATTCCAAGCATACGCGCATTAGCTTTTATTTGCCCAAAGCCACAGCCACATTTGCATCCTCCACGTCCGAGTTGACCAATTGAAAATTTATGTGGAGCTCATTTCGATTTACGACCACCAAATACGGCCCTTGGGAGACACCGTCGTTGGGCTAAACACTGACAACCACAAATTGATCCATTGGCAATTTGATTTCGGCTGCTTGATGAATTTATGGCCAGCCACGACAATTGGCAAAAGCAATCGAGATACTGCAGTTGCAGCTAGATGAATGGCCAAATCGAAGGATTTGTATGTTGCAGGGTGTACGCAATAAATTTCTACATTTTTTCTCTTTGCGGACATTTATCTACATGCGAATGGAAACGGAGAAACATTAACATGATTTCAATTTGTCATCAATTATGCAAAACGAGTCTAGAGCCCCCAGCCCAGCCTATTAACTGGCCATGTTACGTGCTACAAACTTGGAATTCCCCATCAAATGTCAAAGTGTGAGTAATTTGCAACGGTAATTGGGTTACACAGCCGCATGCAACATTTATCAGGCAGCTCGACCCCTTGACGAGGCATTAGACGAACCCCGGGTCCTGATTCTGTTGCACTGCCTCCCACTCACTCCATGGGGCACGCACACAAACACGTCCATTGCATTCTAAACACTCAACGCACGGGCTTCTGGCTGCAGCAGACCCGTAACTCATCGGAATGCAGTCGCAGTCACAGTCGCAGTCGCAGTCGGAGTCATAGTCCGCTTGCACGGAATTAGTTGGAGCACACAAAATGCATTTCGCGTCAAATTGTCAAAGTGTTAATTAAAAATGGACACTCGAATAGGCAGTCAGATAGACACACTCACACACCCACACAGGTGTGTATAGATACACCCACACGCATTTGCATTTGAAGCATTCCAATCGACCTCTCATTCCTATTTTCTCATCACAGAAATGACTCGTCTTGCCAAAACCTTCAACATGACTTTAAGCTGAGACTTAAAATCGTATTATGCTGGAAATTGTGTAAAAAAGCAAACGGAATAAAGCATTTCCATCCATTTATAACTTATAATATAATAAGCATCTGACTGGCTGTCTTTTATCGGTATGATCGACTCCATCTCCGAGATATAGAACGCATTAATGTCCCTACAATCAAGTTCATTTCAAATCGACAATAGCATACCCTGTTTTGCTATCATCATTGCCCGAACTGGATAGACTAGACTATACTAGATATAGAATGATAAAATTCTGGAATATTTCTTCCCGATCTTTTATTTTAAGATAAGCCAAGTTATGTAAGTGCATTTGGAATGGATGGATTTCCCGTAGACAGGAGATGTGAAAAGAAGTTGTAAAAGTGCACAAAAGAAATTTTAAATAAGCCACCGAATTGTGGCCCATTTTCCCCTTCTTCTGGACTCATCAAATCATAATCCTTAAATACGTGGATTTTGTTTCAATGCAACCGAGGATAATGGTTAAATGTGCGAGCAGGGTATCTACTCGTCGATACTTATTTTGGGCAGTTCTTAGGTTACTTTTCCTTAACTGCTTTATGGGTTTATCTATTGCTAGTGCCTTGCGTAATTTTCCAATTTGCATAGAAAATAGCTTGGAAATTTATTCTCCTGTGCCATAAAATCTTTTCTTGCGGCAACAAATATTGGGTGTTTACGGCCCATGTTCTCCGGCTTTGCGCATCCTTGCACTTGCGCCATAATGTGTTTGCATAATTTTAATCGTTGTGATCTGTGCCCGAAATGGAGACGACTCTAGATTACAGGGATTCGTATTGTTTTGGGCCAGGCCAACTGCAAAATTGCCGTTGTGTGAATTTTTTATGGCACCCCCGAGTGCCCTCTGCCGCAGTCAACTAGCGTATGTGTGGGCGGGGAGGGGAGGTCAGGACAGGGTATCTAGTGTGGCTGTCAATTTAAATGGCTAATGCTATCAAACCTATTAAAATGCTAATTTCTAAATAGTCGAGTCGGCTTGAAGCTGCGCCTTTAAGAAATGCTTTGCAATAATTTTTATTTTTAAAAATCTCTCTGTCATTCAGATCTGGCCGTCTGTCAATTTGAAAAGCACCTGCCTGCTAGATTCCATTAAATGAAAACCAAATCATTCATTTCATCTGCCAATCGAAGGCGTGGGTTGCCTTTCAAATTGACATTGACATTTCTGATGCGTCAGTTTCAAAATATTTGTCCCACAAAATTCACTGAAATCAAAAGTGGTTTTTAATGTCTAGACCGAGAACATTTAAGCAGAGTCTCACAAGGCAGATGACAAATGCGAAATACATGCAAATGGAATGGCCAGACCTGAACTTTGCTAAATCTAATTCGATAGGGTATTAATCAAAAGTTTTCTGCGCCGTTCTCAGCTGTCAGTATTTCAGTTTTAGGGGATAGTTTTATTTGCTTTTGCTGAGTCTGGTTCTGCTTCGAGTTCTGAGGCTAAGAAATCAGCTTGGTCCGCAAAATAAATTTCTGTAATTTGTTTATGTGGCTTTTCATATTTTCAATTTGAGTGCAGCCGGAGTGGGGGGGTTTATTTTCTCTGGTGTCCCCGCCCACCGTGCCACTCAGAATGCCAAAATGTGAAAATGAAATTTACATCATTTGTTTATTTGTATCGCTCATGTCCTGTGGTCTTGCCAAAACATGTCCTTGGGGAAACCTGAGCAGCAGTCAGTCGCAGCAATTCATTTTTTTTTTTTTACATTTTTATTTTACTAAAGCGAAAGCCGACTGTATAGACGAGCAAGAGGAAGAAAGCACATCGCAAATTTGATTACCGCCCAGCAAAATGTTTGCATATTTTTTGTGAGCTCTCTCTCTGTCTCTTTCCCTTGTTTTTCTTGTTTTTTTTTCCATCCATGCCATCTTTGACCGTCTTGCTGGCGACTGGAATATACTTTTAAATTAACGCATTATGTTTATGTATTAGATGCAAATACAAATGCCCAGTCGCATTGCCCAAGGACCTTCACACATCGCTGGCCAAAGGGTCAGAAATCCAATTTGAGAAATTTTCATAAAGGTTTTCCCTTTTTATACCCTAGAACAAAAGTACAAAGAGTGTGCTGCGTCTGCTTCGCTTAAAGAAAATTGTTTGTGCACTGTTATTAAATATTTCAGAAGCTACTTTTGCATAAATGGATATTTATATTATTATTCTATTAATTTTAAGGTTTGCTTTTAAAAATTGTCCATTTAAATTTTGGGTGAGAATATTATTTAATTTGAGCTTCAAATGTAGGGTATCTTTTAGTTGATTTATTGCTTTGCATCGTGCTACACATTCGGAAAAATCGTATATGGCAAATTTCAAGAACCAACATTTTTATTGCACATCAAATTTCCTACTCGTCTGCGGCTCAGTCGCCTGTACGGCAGCCCCCAGCCCCGCCCCTTTTAGAAAACAACCTACGCAATCAAGCGGTGGCCCACGGAACGGGAAACACTTTTGATTTCATTCCGCATCAGCGACGGACACTTGGCTTGGGCCCGAAGCACTCTCGGACTAGGTCTTCCTCTGCATCCACTCTTGTGTTTAATTGGAAACGGGCGAGCTTTGATTGCGACTGCAGCCAGGAAACAGGACCATACGAAGATTATAGCAGCTCATAAGCGGTTTGGCAATCACCATTAGAAGTGGACTCGGACCGGACTGCCTTCTAATTGCCCGTAGTCTGGGTCGAACAAAACTGCCAATGTACTTCATTTTGAGGCCTACCTCTCAGATGTGTATCTAATCAGCTGAAGTTTGCCAATGCGATTTCCATGTTCGAACGGATGGAAGCTGCGTGACATGTGGAAAATGGAAAATGACATGGACACACGCTACCCGCAGACGATGCAATACCATCCGCATCAAAGGGTTAGGCCACAGCCCCAATTCGAACTTTGATAAAATTGTTGGCATTTTTGTACGCAAAATTTTCGGATTTCTGCGCATTAATAAAAAATAAAATACAAATCAGAAACGTGTCAGCAGCTCAAAGTGGGTTCGGATGCCAATTGGAAATGTGGCTGTCGCGCGTGCACGAATTTGCACTTTGGCGTAACCCTTCAGCAGCGCAATCGTTGATGAGGATTGAGGGGATTGCGGGGTGACTGAACTTAGGGTTAAGTGTGCGGAGCCACAGGAGACCGACCTACAACTGCTGGCAACTACAGCCACGTGATTGCACCAACTCTTAAATGGCTTTTGGCAGCCATTCAGCTTGGCTGTCAGCTCACTTTGCATGCGAAATATATCCAGATATATCAATACGAATAGCTGAAAAACTTCTCCAACTTCTTCTTCAAATACCTACATATGTCATTTAAAGTAATCAAATCCCAATGAAATCAAAGCACTATGTTAATGTGTTAGAAGAAGAGTTGGCCTTATATGGCGACAAGTTTAATAATTGTGGGTGGGCGTGACGAAAATATCGTAATAATTGCACTGATATCTAAGTTGGCCTTAAAAGTGTGGAATAGTGTTTTTGATTTCACGGTCTGTTTTTAGCCAACCTGAATTAGAGAAGGGTGGCTGTTCCACTTGATCTGCGTCTGATTTCTTTGAGTGAAAACAATGCCGACGCAGACGAGGAAGGGGACGACGCTGACTGGCAGCGATGTGGCAAAAATATAAAATTATTGATTATCAGCGATGGCATCTCAGCGATTTGCTGCTACAAGCCACGTTTCACTTTTTTGCTTGGATCGGCTCGGTCGGTAGGTTCTCGTTTCTGTCCCGTTCCCGTTCCCGTTTCCGTTCGGGATGCTGTTCTCTTGGTGCAGACGGCCAAGATCCCATCATTAAAACCATTGTGCGATATCGACACCTTGGTCAGCACGTTTTTTATTTTTCTTGGAGGGCACACAAAAAGCGAGATCGTTTCGCTTGTCGCAAGTGTTGTCAACAGGTTTCGCGGAATGCAACGACGAGGACGAGTTGTAGAT